CCAGCCCTCCCGCTGGCCCAGCTACGGGTGGCACCAGCCCTCCCGCTGGCCCAGCTACGGGTGGCACCAGCCCTCCCGCTGGCCCAGCTACGGGTGGCACCAGCCCTCCCGCTGGCCCAGCTACGGGTGGCACCAGCCCCCCCGCTGGCCCAGCTACGGGTGGCACCGCCCTCCCGGGGCCCCAGCTACGGGTGGCACCAGCCTCCCGCTGGCCCAGCTACGGGTGGCACCAGCCCTCCCGCTGGCCCAGCTACGGGTGGCACCAGCCCTCCCGCTGGCCCAGCTACGGGTGGCACCAGCCCTCCCGCTGGCCCAGCTAGGGTGGCACCAGCCCTCCGCTGGCCCAGCTACGGGTGGCACCACCCCTCCCGCTGGCCCAGCTACGGGTGGAAACCAGCCCTCCCGCTGGCCCAGCTACGGGTGGCCCAGCCGTCCAGCTGGCCCAGCTACGGGTGGCACCAGCCGTCCCGCTGGCCCAGCTACGGGTGGCACCAGCCACCCCGCTGGACCAGCTACGGGTTGCACTAGCTACCCCGCTGGACCAGCTACAGGTTGCACTAGCCACCCCGCTGGACCAGCTACAAGTTACACTAGCTACCCCGCTGGACCAGCTACAAGTTACACTAGCCACCCTGCTGGACCAGCTACAAGTTACACTAGCCACCCTGCTGGACCAGCTACAAGTTACACTAGCCACCCTGCTGGACCAGCTACAGGTTACACTAGCCACCCTGCTGGACCAGCTACAGGTTACACTAGCCGCCCTGCTGGACCAGCTACAAGTTACACTAGCCACCCTGCTGGACCAGCTACAGGTTACACTAGCCACCTGTGGACCAGCTACAGGTTTACACTAGCCACCCTGCTGGACCACCCTACAGGTTACACTACCCACCCTGCTGGCCCGGCTACAGGTTCACTAGCCACCCTGCTGGCCCAGCTACAGGTTACACTAGCCACCCTGTGGACCAGTACAGGTTACACTAGTACCCTGCTGGACCAGCTAAAGTTCACTAGCCCCCCTGCTGGACCAGCTACAGGTTACACTAGCCACCTGCTGGACAGCTACAGGTTACACTACCCACCCTGCTGGACCAGCTACAGGTTACACTAGCCACCCTGCTGGACCAGCTACAGGTTACACTAGCCACCCTGCTGGACCAGCTACAAGTTACACTAGCCACCCTGCTGGACCAGCTACAGGTTACACTAGCCACCCTGCTGGACCAGCTACAGGTTACACTAGCCACCCTGCTGGCCCAAAGCTACAGGTTACCTAGCCACCCTGCTGGACCAGCTACAGGTTGCACTAGCCGCCCTGCTGGACCAGCTACAGGTTACACTAGCCGCCCTGCTGGACCAGCTACAGGTTACACTAGCTACCCTGCTGGACCAGCTACAAGTTACACTAGCCACCCTGCTGGACCAGCTACAGGTTGCACTAGCCACCCTGCTGGACCAGCTACAAGTTACACTAGCCACCCTGCTGGACCAGCTACAAGTTACACTAGCCACCTGCTGGACCAGTACAGGTTGCACTAGCCACCTGTGGGACCAGCTACAAGTTACACTAGCCACCCTGCTGGACCAGCTACAGGTTACACTAGCTACCCTGCTGGACCAGCTACAGGTTACACTAGCTACCCCGCTGGACCAGCTACAGGTTGCACTAGCCACCCTGCGGGAAACCAGCACAGGTTACACTAGCCACCCTGCTGGACCAGCTACAGGTTACACTAGCTCCCCTGTGGACCAGCTACGGGTTTTACACTAGCTACCCTGCTGGACCAGCTACAGGTTACACTAGCCACCCTGCTGGACCAGCTACAGGTTACACTAGCCACCCTGCTGGACCAGCTACAGGTTACACTAGCTACCCTGCTGGACCAGCTACAGGTTGCACTAGCCACCCTGCTGGACCAGCTACAAGTTACACTAGCTCCCTGCTGGCCCAGCTCGGGTTTTACACTAGCCACCTGCTGGCCCAGCTACAGGTTGCACTAGCCACCCTGCTGGACAGTTTACAGGTTACATAGCCACCCTGCTGGACCAGCTACAGGTTACACTGTACCCTGCTGGACCAGCTACAGGTTACACTAGCCCCCCTGCTGGACCAGCTACAGGTTACACTAGCCACCCTGCTGGACAGTACAGGTTGAAACTAGCACCCTGCTGGACCAGCTACAAAGTTACACTAGCCACCCTGTGGACCGCTACAAGTTACACTAGCCACCCTGTGGACCAGCTACAGGTTGCACTAGCCACCCTGCTGGACAGTACAGGTTACACTAGCCACCTGCTGGACCAGCTACAAGTTACACTAGCCACCTGCTGGACCAGCTACAAGTTACACTAGCCACCCTGCGGGACCAGCTCAAGTTACACTACCCCACCTGTGGCCCCAGCTACAAGTTACACTAGCCACCTGCTGGACCAGCTACAAGTTACACTAGCCACCCTGCTGGACCAGCTACAAGTTACACTAGCCACTCTGCTGGACCAGCTACAAGTTACACTAGCCACCCTGATGGACCGCTACAGTTACCCCTAGCCACCCTGCTGGACCGCTACAAGTTACACTAGCCACCCTGCTGGACAGCTACAATTTTACACTAGCCACCCTGCTGGACCAGCTACAGGTTACACTAGCCACCCTGCGGGACCAGCTCCCGGGTTTTACACTGCTTCCCCTGCTGGACCAGCTACAGGTTATGCTAGCCACCCTGCTGGACCAGCTACAGGTTACACTAGCCACCCTGCTGGACCAGCTACAGGTTACACTAGCCACCCTGCTGGACCAGCTACAGGTTACACTAGCCACCCTGCTGGACCAGCTACAGGTTACACTAGCTGCCCTGCTGGACCAGCTACAGGTTACATAGCCACCTGCTGGACCAGCTACAGGTTACATTTAGCCACCTGCTGGACCAGCTACAAGTTACACTACCCCACCCTGCTGGACCAGCTACAGGTTACACTAGCACCCTGCTGGACCAGCTACAGGTTACACTAGCCACCCTGCTGGACTAGCTACAGGTTACACTAGCCACCCTGCTGGACCAGCTACAGGTTACACTAGCCACCCTGCTGGACCAGCTACAGGTTAACATGACTTAAGAAATCGTAATGACACGATTGCAAATAAACCATACCCCCGGCCGGGATTGAACCCGCGGTCATAGAGTCTCAAAACTCCAGCCCGTCGCGCTAACCACTAGACCAGCTAGCCACAATAAGATTCATCCAACTAGGTATATTTCTACACCATAGGAAGGTTAGCACAGGCACCTCTGTGACCACAAATGCAAGTTTTTACAGACGAATCTCCAGCTAGCGTGGCCGTGACTTGCATTTGTGGTCACAGAGGTGCCTGTGCTAATTTTCCTATGGTGTTGAAATAACCTAGTTGGATGAATCTTATTGTGGCTAGCTGGTCTAGTGGTTAGCGCGACGGGCTGGAGTTTTGAGACTCTATGACCGCGGGTTCAATCCCGGCCGGGGGTATGGTTTATTTGCAATCGTGTCATTACGATTTCTTAAGTCATGTTGACGGAAGTGAAGGGACTTGAGCTAGAGTTCGTCACGGCCACGCTAGCTGGAGATTCGTCTGTAAAAACTTGCATTTGTGGTCACAGAGGTGCCTGTGCTAACCTTCCTATGGTGTAGAAATATACCTAGTTGGATGAATCTTATTGTGGCTAGCTGGTCTAGTGGTTAGCGCGACGGGCTGGAGTTTTGAGACTATGACCGCGGGTTCAATCCCGGCCGGGGGTATGGTTTTTTCAGCTACAGGTTACACTAGCCACCCTGCTGGACCAGCTACAGGTTACACTAGCCACCCTGCTGGACCAGCTACAGGTTACACTAGCCACCCTGCTGGACCAGCTACAGGTTACACTAGCCACCCTGCTGGACCAGCTACAGGTTACACTAGCCACCCTGCTGGACCAGCTACAGGTTACACTAGCCACCCTGCTGGACCAGCTACAGGTTACACTAGCCACCCTGCTGGACCAGCTACAGGTTACACTAGCCACCCTGCTGGACCAGCTACAGGTTACACTAGCCACCCTGCTGGACCAGCTACAGGTTACACTAGCCACCTGCTGGACCAGCTACAGGTTTCAATGCCACCTGCGGACCGCTACAGGTTGCACTAGCTACCCTGTGGACCAGCTACAAGTTACACTAGCCACCCTGCTGGACCAGCTACAGGTTACACTAGCCGCCCCGCTGGACCAGCTACAGGTTACACTAGCTACCCTGCTGGACCAGCTACAGGTTACACTAGCCGCCCCGCTGGACCAGCTACAGGTTGCACTAGCCGCCTGCTGGACCAGCTACAGGTTACACTAGCCCCCCTGCTGGACCAGCTACAGGTACACTAGCCCCCTGCTGGGGCCAGCTCAGGTTACACTAGCCACCCTGCTGGACCAGCTACAGGTTACACTAGCTACCTGCTGGAACCAGCTACAAGGGTTTCACTAGCTACCCTGCTGGACCAGCTACAAGTTACACTAGCCACCTGCTGGACCAGCTACAAGTTACACTAGCTTTCCCCGTGGACCGCTACGGTTACACTAGCCACCCTGCTGGACCAGCTACAGGTTACACTAGCCACCCTGCTGGACCAGCTACAGGTTACATAGTACCTGTGGACCAGCTACAGGTTACACTAGCCAAACCCTGCTGGACCAGCTACAGGTTACACTAGCCACCCTGCTGGACCAGCTACAAGTTACACTAGCTACCCTGCTGGACCAGCTACAAGTTACACTAGCCACCCTGCTGGACCAGCTACAGGTTACACTAGCTACCCTGCTGGACCAGCTACAGGTTACACTAGCTACCCTGCTGGACCAGCTACAAGTTACACTAGCCACCCTGCTGGACCAGCTATGGGTTATGCTAGCTGCCTTTCTTGTCCAAGTTTTAAATACATGGACAAAGAACAATTTTGTTTCTTAATGTTAATATTTTCATTTTAAATGCTAACATACCTGACGAAGATTTTGATGACCATCAATAATGAATAGACCACGGAATGCTATTCCTTCATCCTCTTTGAGAACACCATAAGCCTTTGAAATTTCCAGAGATTTATCAGCCAAGAGGGGAATGTTCATTGCTCCCAAGCCACCTTCTTTGCGAGGAGTGTTGACCCTACAAAAATTTAGGTTTCATTAGAGTACCTACATTTTACTTTATTTTTTTTTTTTCAAAAGCTACCTGAACACTTGTAGTAGTAGTGACACTGACAGAGAATTGATCGCATGTTTACAGCACTCAGCCATAAAAAGATACAATTAAAAATAAGGATAAAATTTAATATAAGCAACTAACAAACATTTGACCAATACTATCACACCAAGTTAAAAAGACCAGCATCAATTACTAAAACATTTGTGATCGATACATACCATGCAAGATGTGAGAAATGGGAATCTGTTGAACAAGCCACCACTTCACAGCCAATGTTACGGAATTCTTCTACTCTATCAGAGAAGGCAATTATTTCTGTAGGGCAGACGAAGGTGAAGTCAAGAGGGTAGAAGAACAACACAACGTATTTGCCTACATAATCTTCCAAAGAAATTTCCTTGAATGAACCATCCACAACTGCAGTTCCTTTGAAGACAGGTGCAGGCTTGGCAATAGCAGGTACTTGATTGCTCATGGTTGGCCTTCGTTGCAAAGCCTGGGGAAGTTTAACATTTTTAACTACTATATACAAGGAATAGCAATTTCACAAATGTATATTTCTTACAAGTCCATACACTCTAATTAAATATGTGTGAATTAATACTGGCCTCAAAGAAAAAACTGCTATAAAAAAAGTCAAAACCCATGAAGTGTGATTGCAATGCAATTAACCATTGTTGCATATGTCTGTGACAATGGTCGAGTGATCACACTTTCAAAGTGGCTACAAAAATGGCTACCAGTAGAGCAAGACATTATGTAACTACAGTGGACCCTCGACTAACAATTTTAATCTGTTCCAGAGCCGAATTAATTTCCCCCATAAGAAATAATAGAAATCCAATTAATCTGTTCCAGACAGCCAAAAGTAGTAAAAAAAAGTTTTTTTTTTACATGAAATATACACTTCCCTACAAAGAAAACAACGAGACATGCACAATACATAAATACAAAAATGACACTTAGGTTCATTGAAGAGTATTGATGAGTGATGAGACACTTTCTTGAACACACTGGGATTTTCAGAGTGATACACGAGTAAAGGCTTCACTTTGCAATCCCCACTAGCATTACAACAAAACATTAGAGTTAGCCTGTCTTTCATAGGCTTGTGTCCTGGGAGTGCCTTTTCTTCCTGAGTAATGTAGATCCTGTTTGGCATTTTCTTCCAGAACAGGCCTGTTTAGTCACAATTTAACACTTGTTGGGGTTGGAATTTTTCAGCTTCGCCATGCCTCATCACACTGTGTATGGCACTACGATTCTTAAATCTCTCAAACCAACCTCTGCTGGCCTTAAATTCACCAATATGAGCATTAGTTCCAGGCATTTTTTCCTGTTCACCTGGGTGTTAGTCGACTGGTGTGGGTCGCATCCTGGGGGATAAGATTAAGGACCCCAATGGAAATAAGTTATTCCTTGATGAAGCGGTGACTTTCTTGGGTTATCCTGGGTGGCTAACCCTCTGGGGTTGTTTCTCGGTAATTGTTTCTCGTTAAGCCACACCAACACTCTCCACATCTTCGAGTAGTACAGCTGACCATGGTGCAGCAGCAGCCGCCGACCGTGGTGCAGCAACAGCAGCCGCCGACCGTGGTGCAGCAACAGCAGCCGCCGACCGTGGTGCAGCAACAGCAGCCGCCGACCGTGGTGCAGCAACAGCAGCCGCCGACCGTGGTGCAGCAACAGCAGCCGCCGACCGTGGTGCAGCAACAGCAGCAGCCGACCGTGGTGCAGCAGCCGACCGTGGTGCAGCAACAGCAGCAGCCGACCGTGGTGCAGCAACAGCAGCAGCCGACCGTGGTGCAGCAACAGCAGCAGCCGACCGTGGTGCAGCAACAGCAGACCATGGTGCAGCAACAGCAGCAGCAGACCGTGGTGCAGCAACAGCAGCAGCAGACCGTGGTGCAGCAACAGCAGCAGCAGACCGTGGTGCAGCAGCAGCAGACCGTGGTGCAGCAACAGCAGCAGCAGACCGTGGTGCAGCAACAGCAGCAGCCGACCGTGGTGCAGCAACAGCAGCAGCCGACCGTGGTGCAGCAACAGCAGCAGCCCGGGCGTGGTGCAGCAAAAAGCAGCAAACCGGGCCGTGGTGCAGCAACGCAGCAGCCGGGCCGTGGTGCAGCAACAGCAGCAGCCGACCGTGGTGCAGCAACAGCAGCAGCCGACCGTGGTGCAGCAACAGCAGACCGTGGTGAACAGCCGACGGTGGTGCAGCAACAGCCGACGGTGGTGCAACAGCCAACGGTGGTGCAGCAACAGCTGACGGTGGTGCAGCAACAGCCGATGGTGGTGCAGCAACAGCCGATGGTGGTGCAGCAACAGCCGATGGTGGTGCAGCAACAGCAGCAGCCGACGGTGGTGCAGCAACAGCAGCAGCCGACGGTGGTGCAGCAACAGCAGCAGCCGACGGTGGTGCAGCAACAGCAGCAGCCGACGGTGGTGCAGCAACAGCAGACGGTGGTGCAGCAGCAGCCGACGGTGGTGCAGCAACAGCAGCAGCCGACGGTGGTGCAGCAACAGCAGCAGCCGACGGTGGTGCAGCAACAGCAGCAGCCGACGGTGGTGCAGCAACAGCAGCAGCCGACGGTGGTGCAGCAACAGCAGCAGATGACGGTGGTGGCTTATTTAGCAGTTACAAGCACTAAAAACAATGGAATACAAAATGTATCGAATTTATGCGTGGAACCATCCGCCCTGGCTTGTAAACAATGGCACACTAGCTAAAGGAAGGGCAGCTGAGGTGCTCAGGCTGGATGGACAAGTGGACGCATTTGGGATGAATGTCCTTACGCGAGTTTTTTCAGTAGGTCAAGCCAATATTTTTACGCAAAAACGCATCATTACCCAATTTTATCATTAGTCGAGGGTCCACTGTATTTGAAGCATTCAGTAGAAAGCAGCATGTGACACTATCAAACGATGGTAAAACAATTTGTTAAAGCAAAAAGTATTTTGCCAATGTCTCTCAGACACTTTTTGATCAACATGTCTCATACCCGTATGACCCTCATGACCTTATTTTCACAAATAATGAGAACCTGGTAAGAGACATAATTACTATTATTATTATACACATGGGGAAGAGCTAAACCCGTATGATTATAGTGCCTGTGGGGGGTGAATGAAAGGTATTCAAGCTTAATTCAGGGAACTGGAGCACAGATCCAATTCCCTAGTTCAAGAGCCCCTCACCAGCATCAAGGAACCTCCCTCAAGGGAAAGAAACATAATAAAGTGGAACCTCGGCTTATGAACTCAATTCGTTCTGCGACGTTGTTTGTATCCTGATTTGTTCATATGCCGAGTCAATTTTCCTCATTTAAATTAACTGGAATAGCAATCTGTTCCAGTGGAATTCCTACTCAGAAGGCATAACAAAATACAGTGGACCCCGGCATATGATGGCATCGGCATACGTTAAATCCGGCATACGATACATTTTAACACAAAAAATTGCCTCGCCACACGCGATTCGTCCGGGATGCGTCCCACGTATGTCCTCGGCTGCCCCGTGCGTGCCAGTGTTTACAAGCCAGCCAGTGTGGTCGCATCCATGCATACAATCGGTACATTTCATATTATCACAGCGTTTTTAGTGATTGTACCTGCAAAATAAGTCACCATGTGCCCCAAGAAAGCTTCTAGTGCCAACCGTGCGGTAAAAAAAGGTGAAAATTACTATGGAAATGAAGAAAGAGATAATTGCTAAGTATGAAAGTGGAGTGCGTGTCTCGGAGCTGGCCAGGTTGTATACCAAACCCCAATCAACCATCGCTACTATTGTGGCCAATAAAACGGCAATCAAGGAAGCTTTTCTTGCAAAAGGTGCAAGTTTGTTTTCGAAACAGATATCGCAAGTACTCGAAGATGTTGAGAGACTGTTATTGGTGTGGATAAACGAAAAACAGATAGCAGGAGATACCATCTCTTAAGCGATCATATGTAAAAAGGGTGGGAAATACGTACTATCATACCATGGTCAGCTGTTGCTGCACCAGTCAGCTGTTGCTGAACCACGGTGAGCTGCTGTTGCACCACGGTCAGCTGCTGCTACACCACTGTCATCTGTCGCTGCACCACTGTCATCTGTTGCTGCACCACGGTCCGCTGTTGCTGCACCAGTCAGCTGTTGCTGAACCACGGTGAGCTGCTGTTGCACCACGGTCAGCTGCTGCTACACCACCGTCATCTGTTGCTGCACCACCGTCATCTGTTGCTGCACCACCATCTGTTGCTGAACCACGGTGAGCTGCTGTTGCACCACGGTCAGCTGCTGCTACACCACCGTCATCTGTTGCTGCACCACAGTCAGCTGCTGCTACACCACCGTCATCTGTTGCTGCACCACGGTCAGCTGCTGCTGCACCAAAGTCAGCTGCTGCTGCACCAAAGTCAGCTGTTGCTGCACCAAAAAAAGGACGTGCTACCTAAAGTCCTAATGGAAGGGGATTCCCCTACTAAGCATTAACAACTTCCACACTCTCCCCTCCTCCCATCCCATTAATCATCACCAGATCTTCAACAAAGGTAAGTGTCAGTTTGTGTGTATTAAAATTAATATTTCATGTGGTAAAAAAAAAAAAAATTTCATACGCCTTACGATAATTTTGGCATATGATGAGCTCTCAGGAACGGATTAATATCGTATTCCGGGGGTCCACTGTAATGCTAATATCAATTCTACGGCTTATTTATCTATCACAATTTGTCTAATATGACATATTGAACAATATAAATAGCATAGAAACCTGATACACACTCTAGAATGAATAAAATATCATTACGTATGTGGCTAGTGGTGACAGCGGCGGAGGAGAGAGGTCGTGGGCATTCTCACTCCTATGAAAACTTCTCCCCTTCAGAGGTGTTATTATAAGAGAAAATGGAGTTTGTGAGGCTAACTGCAGTAGATCACTACTTTCATAAGGAAAACAATGCAGAAATAAACGGGTGNTATGTACCATGGGAAAAAATGCGGAAAAGGGTTGACAGGGGAAAAGATAGGCAGAGGGGTTTTTTGGCGTCAGGAGTTATTTCTTTTGCCCTTTTTTTCTTTGCTTAATTCTACACTCAAATGCTAAAAACCATCCTGAACGCAAAATTTTTTTTTTATCTCGTTTCAACACGATTTTTGGCTTTTTCTCCAGCTTTCATTTTCTTTTCGGGCGGCGTTCAATAATAAAAAAAAATGTCCAAAGGGGTTGATCTTCCCCCTTTTTCAAAATGTTTCGGAAACGTTTTACGTCTGCCACTCGTGTGGGGTTTTCCCAAAACCCCTCATTTAGTATGTGGCCCCGGTTATTGGCTGTAAATCTTTCCAGAAGGTCGGCCCAAAATCTGAAAAGGGCCCAAAAAAGGGAAAAAAAAATTTCCCACAAGAATTAAGTAAAAACAATACTAGACACCCCCAAAAAAAAATTTAAAAAAAAATACATTTTAAAAAATTAACTATTTTTTGCTACACAAAACAATGAAACTAAATAAAAAACTAAGAAATGGAAAAATGAACATATAACACACTTTTACCCTTTCTAAAACCTTTTTGAAGCTAATTTTGTTTCGTTTTTTTTTCTTATAATATTCATGTACTGCTGCACAACGCCTATGCTGTCTGCCGTTAGTTTAATTTTTCAGCCTCAGGTGTGCCCTCTAGGCCTGCCCAGGCAGTGGGGTGCTGGTCCACTCGCTCACTACACTAGCAGCCTAGAACGTCAACAGGGTGACCCCCCCTATCTCCCCCGCGCCCTTGGCACTTAACACACGGATGGGCACCCCCAAAAAGTCTATAATTTAACCCCACTTCCAGCTCACCAAATAATTTTTTTTTCACACTGGTGGGGCAGTAGTCGCCATTTTTTGGGTTTTCCCAGGAGGAAGGAATGAAGTTGTTCACTTTTATCCCCTACACAAAAGCATCCTCCCTTTTTTTAAAAGAGTTTTCAAAGATGTGTGTCTGCATGTTTCAGCATCCAGACACAGGTAGAAGCAGGATCTAGCCAAAATTTGCCGAATTTCTTCGAGAATTGTAAGTGGCGCGTCCCAGTGACCCCATGCCACAGCATCCCACACTGTTTCTCAAGTCACATGTTCAGCATCACTTGTATGTTCTGCTGTTGTTGTTCAGCTCAGCACAGCTATTTCAGCAAGCCACGTAGACCACGACGCCACGTGGATCCCGACACCATGTGGGTGTGGACGAAGCCACGTGGATCTACGAGCCACGTGAGTTAAGGAGCCAGACGTCCCAGGCCTCATGCTGTGGTTTGCTGCCCGCATCACATTAGCATTACTGATGCTGCTGCCTGACTTCGTGATGTCATGTCTGCCTGACGTCACGTCGAGATGTCTGCTGATGTCACAGTGCTGCTGACGTCACCTCGCGACATCACACGATGTCACATCGAGTGTTTCAGTAATTATGTCAGTATTGTCGAGAAGACAGAGAAGATACATGTCGTGTGTTAACTAATTCCTCTCAGTCAGTGTTCTCGCATGTTAGTGTATGGCTTAGTGTCAATTTTGTGCACAGAAAAGCATCATTTGCTAGTTTAAGTCATGCTGTACCGCATGTACCACGGGTGTGTGTAAAGTTTTCCGTGTGTCCAGTGTGGTCTTGAGCCCAGACCACTGAGTAGCACCACTGTGTTACTGTCACCCGGTGTGACCAGCACGTTTGACAGCTGATATTAGTCAGCCCTGAGCATACGAGCCCCTTGTACAGAAAGCTTTTTATGCTCTTTCGCTCATAAAATTTTCTGCAGAATCGTACCTCTACGTTTCCCCCATCGAGATTTTTTTTCACTTCACCCCCAAAACCCTTTCCCCCCGAGTGCGGGAAATAAGTAGAGAAAAAAGTCTGGGGCCCGTTTTAGACAAACCCCCCGGGCTATAACTCCAACTGCCGAGAGAATGACACTTGCAAGCTTGCATTTGGGCCTGTTGGCAGGCGGCTGTTTTCACCCTTTCCTGTCAAGCTTCAGTGAGCTCCTGCCAATAAATGTTTCCCACTTTGACTGCTAGCTCGCCCCATTTGCAGTATGGGAAAATGTTACGACCCCCCAAAATGTTTCGCCCATCGTCTCTGCCACAATTTCGCCCCAAACGACTTACCCCCATCTCGCCAGCAGTAACACCCAGCGACAGTACCATTCGAAAGTGTCCCCCGGGTTCGTTTGCCAAAGTCCCCCACCCCCGAGTTTTGAGACGCCTCACTCGAGGCCCCCCAGCATGTCGTGCCCCAGGTTGAGGAAACCTGCACGACTCCTACGATAAAATTTTTTCCCCACCCATTCCCCAGAGTTTAATTTAGTTTAAAAATGTTTATTATGCACCCCATAAACCCATCCGTGGGGGGTACCCCAAAAGGGTTTACAGGGGTACATAGGGGTCCAGGGACGGGGGCCCAAAAAAGGGTTTTGATAGCTAAAGCAATTTAACAGAAGAAAAATGAATCAAAATTTTACAAAGGTAATGAACCCCCAGGTAGGGTAGCCCCAAAAACATGAAAAGTTAAAAAGGTATTTACGATTACAGAGGTCCATAAGGGGGTCTGGGATTTGGGCCAAACAAAGTTTTGAGGGCTAAAACGGGTAAAAGGGTTAAGAACTCAAGTTACAAAGGTAATGAATACGTAAAATTTGGTTACTTACGTTTAAAACATGGCTACAATCATGAAAAAATTTTTAAAATAATGAAAATTTTCACATTTTTCCACCCCCCAGTCACAACTGAAAGGGGAGTTTTTGGGTGCAAATATTGATTTTTGATCTCACACACACACAAACACACACCACACACAAAAACCCCAAACACAAAAACACAAAAACCACAAAATTTTTTTTTCAAAAACAAACACACAAAAAACAAAACACAAACACAAACAAACACACACAAACCAACAAAAAACACACAAAAACACACAAAAAACATAAACCACATAAACACACACAAAACACACACACACAAAACAAAAACCCACACACACACAAACACAAACAAACCCACACACACAAAACAAAACACAACACACACACACACACACCACCCCACAAACCATAAAACACACACCCCACAAAACAAACACACAACAAACACCCCAAGGACTTGGATTTCAACCCCTGCAATCTAAACCCTGGGTGATTTACACACACACAAAACACACACACACACACACACACACCACAATGGGGTAATGTTTTTATTTAAAAGCTAGAAAAACCCGGGGTTTTTCTCCAGAAGGGCCCTTAAATATACCCTGTGGATAAAATATTTTAGCCATTTCTTGAACCCCTTTCTGAGTGAGTTGTTTTTTTAAATTCTTTAAATTTTTTAACGCACTCCAGACATAATGACCGGGGTGTGACAATAGTCCATCGGGCCCAAAGTTTACATTTCTTTTGGCCCTACACCCTGGTGGTGGTGTTTTTAACCTGCCAAAGAAAATTTGTAACCCACCAAAACCCGGGGCCCGGTAGTGAAAACCAAGAGCCCTGTTTTAATTTTGTTGGATGCACCATAGACATTGGCTCCTCCTGCATGATAAAAATTTGATGATAGTTTGGCCCCACGGGTGTCAATCTCCCTGACCCTTTAATCCATAAAATTCAGTTGAAGTTCTTTTCGTATTGTTCTCAAACCTCCCCTGACAAGCAAAATTGTAATCATCCCTCCCCCTCTTTGAAAGCATACAGCTTACCCAAATTTTTACCCAGTTCTATCATGCACCCTGAAGACCAATGTGAATGGAATCCACAGCGTGCACTTTGACCCCCACTGTCCAAAAATCCAAACCATACCTTTTTGGTGGGGGCTTCTGACACAAGCATGCCACAATTTATGCTTAAGAGTTGAAAGCTTTTAAAGGGATGAGAAATCATTACAATTAAACGGGCAATTTTGTTTACTTTAATTTGCATTTCAGTGGAAAGGGGGAGTAGGGCCCAAACAGTTTTGTCTAAAAGGTAGGGGGCCCAATTATTAAATGCGTGCCCC